GTAACCTCCAGTATGGGGAATAGTCATCCAGCTGCTGCACTGGTTTCTCTCCTCAGGAGTAGGCAAATTAGGGTAACAAAGAAGGAAGTAACTAAGGTATTAGATGAAGTGCTAGCTCTTGCTCCTTGGTTTACAGATGCTGTTGGGATCCAGAGCAATGGTCTTGTGTGCTACTCATGGCCAGAAAGAGAGAAGTCAGGGAGGGGTGTCCATTTTCTGGGCCGTTCTACCCCATTGTGACTGCCAGTCTGGCCTCACTTTCGGGAGTTCCCCCTAATGCCCATGAGCAGAATAATCTCATACAAAAAAACATAGATAAACAAATAAAGGAACAGGATAGTGGGGACAGCCTGTCCCAGGCATTTCCAGTCAGAACCAAACTAACTGATTTCTCTTCTGATGTGGAAATGATGACTGCTGATAATGAGGTAAAACATGAGGAATTAGTGTCCAAGGATCCCCCTGATGAAAAACAGGAAGTCAAGATAGCCCCTGCACTGCCATTATGGGGCGGTGGCTACCCTCCACCATCTTGTATTGGCTTTGATGAAAAATGGGAAGTTAAGGCAGCCTCCACTCTGCCATTACAGGGCAAAGGCTACTTTCCACCATCTTGCACTAGCTCTAAGGAAGTTTCCCCCCAGTCCATCTGCCCCTCCCTTCCAGTGGAGGACTGGAAGCCCCTGCTGCCTAGGCCCTTCTCCTATGATACAATGGGTGATTTTCCACAGTTTTTCTCAGTTATCATCAATCAGGGACTACAGAACCCTAATGTCTGGAATCCATATTCTTATGATACTTTAAAAAAGCTGCGTAGGGCAGCCATTGAGGATGGCATTCATTCCCCTTGGTTTGGTCAGCAATTAGATACAATCAGCCATGCAGCCAACACTCCCTATGACTGGCAGAACATTGCCCATGCCTGTCTACAGGGAGGCGATTTTGTCTTATGGAAGGCTGTTTATCAGGACAAATGTGAACAACAGGCAGAGCACAATAGAAATGCCAATGTCCAAAACATTGGGTTTGACGCCTTGGTAGGGCATGGCAATTTTGAAACCCCACAAGCCCAGGCACAGGGACCTCCTTGCTACTTTGAACAAGTGTGGCTTTGCACGCTCCCATGCTTTCCAAAGTATGCCAACTCTTGAGGATACAAAATTAACCAGATTGGTACAAAAACCAGGTGAGCCTTTCTCTGACTTCATTGAAAGGTGCCAACAAAGCGTTAATAGGAAAATCAGCCACTGGGGGGCCGCAGATGCTTTGCTCAAGGATCTTGTATATGAAGGCTGCTCTACTAAGTGTAGTCTTGCCATAGGTTCCATTAGACACAAGGATGTCTCTGAATAGATTCTGGCCTGTCGGGATGTGGGGACCACCCGAGCTCATGCCACAGCTCTCGCTGAGGCACTGGCTGCTCAACAGGCACAGGCCAAGAGAGACAAGGGAAAATGTTGGGCTTGTGGAGGACAGGGTCATTGGTCTTGCACCTGTCCTAACAAGATCTGGCAGATGGATGTTACTCACTTCCCTTCCTTTGGCAAGCTCAAATATATCCATCATATTATTGACACCTGTTGTTAACACAAGGGCGAGGCTATGCTTGTGTCTTTCCAGATAATATTCTAGCCCCCATTTAGATCCCAGCTCAAAACAGTAGAGTTGCCTGTGACGGAAAACCTCCCTCCACAACTACCGACCCTGAAGATGGCAGCCCTGACCCTGGAGGAAACAGTGTACCTCTCAACCACCGAGAGACTGACCCAGTGTCGCAGCCCATGAAAGCGACAGGCTCCAATGGCACAACCGATATCCTGGGGAGACCTTAAGTATCTCATTTCACAAGCAGAGACTATAGCCAATCAAACCCTCAAACCAGAGGGAACCCCTTGTCTATGTTCCTTATAATGTATGCCATCATTACTGCTAACTCCTGAACGTTAGCAACTCCCCTTAACCCCCACTAACCCGTCAACCTTACTTGATGGATTATTAATGTAGCCAATGAAAAGGAGGTAAATTCCACATCAAAATCTATACACCCTGGCCAATGGTTCCCTGAACTACAGATGTACCACACTTCTGTTTGCCTTGATTGGTCAAACCTTCTCCTAATTTTTGGACCCTGTATTATCAAGGGTCTCCTTAATTTTGTTAAAACTTGTATTTCTCTGGTTCAGTTAGCTGTTGCCCTGCCTCCAGATCTTGCCAGGCATGTCTCTGCAAAGAAGGACCCAGTGTTCCTTGCCCTTACCAACCTATAATTGGCCTCTGATGGTTTTCAATGAATTTTTGGCCCCTCAGGAGGCCTTTAAACAAGCCAATACTTGATGTACTGCCTCTCCCTCTGCCAAACCACACAAGGGACCCACCCTTCGAGGGATGGTAGTCAATGACAGATAAGATCCTTGAAGATGGGACAACCTAAGACAGGCACAGTCCATTATGCTGGGTGACCCTTGAGGTGGGGACAACAGTGCTGAGGCAAAGAATCTCAACTCCCACTGGTTGGCATGGAGTTGGCACAACCTGCTCTTAAGAAAGCTTGCCATCTTGAGGGAGGGAGCTCTTGATACAATGACCCCCTGAGCCATTCTACTTTGCCTTGATGTATCTGGACTGATATCAATATGCTGTGTATCTTAAATTATACCTCACCTTTAAAAATAAAAAAAAGTGGGAGATGTGGGAGACAGGTTTGAGCCTAGGGTTAAAGTCTTATTGACAGCCATACAGCAGGTCTGAAGCAACGGCCCAACCCCTGGAGCCACAAGGAATGCCTTGTGACATTTGCTCCCATTGGCAGATCATGAGACTGATGCCTAGAGCTTACCACTCCCTAATCACCACCCTTGGAATTCCAAATTGCAACACTTAGATATTGCAACAGTCAGGGTCACGTGGTTTCCAAGAATCCAGGCTCTGTAATCTGAAACCCAGTATGCTAAGGAGGCATCCTACCCGCTATTCTGTGATAGGACGTTAAGTCTGTGATGCTAATAAGGTATCCTACTTGCTGTACTGTGATAGGTTGCTAAACCTGTTACGTTAATAAGGTATCCTACTTGCTGTGCTGTGATTGGACCACTTACCCCTATATAAGCTTGTGCCTTCCTGCAATAAAGCAGACCTGTGTCACTGAACCTGGTCTCCTGTGTCTGAATGCGGCTCCGCTGACACAGCCTCCTCACCAGCCCTGGGGTCCAGGACCGGGCAGAAGCAGCGACGACAGGAGGCAGCACAGGGCAAGCAGAAGAGCTGCCTCAGCACCAGGCGAGCAGAAGAACAGCCTCAGCCCAGGGTGAGTGGAGGGGCAGCCTTGACGCCCGAGAGAATGAAGGAGCAGCACCCACAAAAACAGAGGAGTGGCTGCCACTGGCAGTGACCACATTGTAGGTCTATTTTAGCTCATTTGTGGGACTGGACCATTTATTTAAAAAACACCTAGGAATTTATTCAGCATATTTCTAGAGACTGGAATGTTCAACATCAAGGGATAAAGGTTCATATGTCTGATGAGAGTTGATGCTTACAACCAAAATGAAATCTTGTCACATCATTTGAAGAGGAGAAACATTATGTTGTCTCATTGTAGAAGGTAGAAGGACAAACTAACCAAATGTTGCATGAAGTTTCTTTTATAAGGGCTTTGCTTATGTTGACTTAATTACTTATTTTGAAAATCTCATCTCTTTTTATTGGCATATATTCATTGTACACAATAATAGGTTCCATAAAAATAAGTTCAAAAATATCGTGTACCACATCCATGCCCTAGTACCATCCTTCTCCCCTCCATCCCACTAATCTTCCTTCTGCATTTACATCATATATATATATATATATATAAGGTTTATGTATCTATAAAAAAATCTAGGATTCAAAAATAAGATAAAACATGCTGTTTGTCTTTATGAGTCTGACTTTTTCAATTAATATAATGATCTCCAGTTGCTCTTAATATCATCAGATTGATCATCAAATTTCAACACCTGAATTTGGGAGGTAACATGTTCAAACATTAACAGTTCCCTTTGTATTACATATTCAATGGAGGAGAATAGTCACTCGGAAAATCCAGTGCAGTCAACAGTCTAAAATCTCATTCTTTCTTTGTTTTAGACTTTCTTTGTAGTTACTGTTGAAGTTAGTGTTTGCTGCTCTTGGGACTGTCTTCAAACAAAATAAGGAAACCACACTGGGAAGGCCTTACTTAGGAGAGACAGAAGGACAGTCTAGTTTCCCTTTTACCCCCTGCTTAACACTTTCCTGCTGAGAAGAAACGGTTCATCTCTCCAACTGATGCAAGATTTGTTCTTGTTGCCAAATTCCAATATCTTGAAACAATGGGGAGGAGGTGACCTCTTAAATCTTAAAAGCTAGAAACTTCAAAAAAAATGAATATATATATATATATA